TTTGTTTCCTTCCGATACAGTCACAGTCCAGTGTCTGTTGTGGGCACTGGGCACAATGCCGTATCTATCAATGTCCTGTATATCCTCAATCCTCATATCACATCGAACAGGTGCCCAGATACCGGTACTGTCGATGTTTGTGAGAATGAAGGGTTCATTGTCATCCTGGAGGGTCTCGCGAAATGATCCGGGCAACCAACCGATCAGCACATACAAAAGTGCGATACCAAGTACAAGCTCGCAGGAAGGAATGATGCCCACTTAATCGCATAAAACCTGTCGCATTTTACGCTGATGAGGTTACATTATGTCCTTGCGTATCTTTCCTGGGTCCGGGCCTAGGAAATGGGTGTGCTAAGGTCACTTGACCGGTGGGCGCCGCCAATGGTCAGTGTGACGTCACATCCTGCGCAGCGTCTGATGAAACCGGAGTCGGTCGTTGGCGCGGCTCGGGCCGATAGGATTGAGACGAGCCAGGCGGACTGCCTGCCCTGGCACCGGAGACGGCCAGTAGGGCTGGGCGATACGTCCACAGCCTGCGCTCTGCAGAGGGGTCGGCAGCCTATCCCGTCTCGAGGTTGGTGCACGGACTGAGACGGTACACTCACAGACGGCACAGAAGCCAGGAACAGAACGCAACGGGTAGGAGAGCGACTGGACAAGGAATGGTCCTTGAGCGTGAGCGTGCACGAAAAATAATGCAGCAATGGACTTCCCGCTGTTCGGAAGGTGTTGATTGATGAGTTTGAAAACATATAAAGAGAAACGAGAACATGACAGCAGAACACATAAAAATCGCACTGAACGAAACCATATGCGCTGGTAGGAGATGCAAATAATTATGCTACGCAGGAATAAGAGAACGATGCTTCTTAAAAACTAAAAAGTGAAGAAAGATTTCAAAAACTGACAGGCACCTCAGCCACACGACATATCATGCGGAGCCTGGGATAGATACGTGGCAAGAGCCATTATTTCCAGAACCTCATTGGCCGCTCCGCGGTTTTTTAGCATTTTGAGCGGGAAAAACTTCGGTGTGATTGGAATCATGTGTTCTCAGTGTTCTACTACTTGCCCTGCATCTGCATTGAAGTCACCAGACCTGTGAGTGAACTGATCTGGATATTATTCATTGTTTAAAATTTTTGGTACCCGTCACCCGTGCTGCTGTCGTGAAGCCACCAGAAAATTCATCGTAGAGACGCAATCATTGTCAGTTGAAGATTGATGCATTTTTGAAAGACGCATCCAACGGTGTTATTTTTATGCGTCTATCTGCTCTCGCTTGCAAGAAAATCGCCAATATCTGCAGGACTATTTCCTTTCCGACGCGGATGCTTTCAAGGACTTCTCCGCCCTCTGCCAACCGTCCTCGGTTGTCATGGCGACCAACCCCTACCGGGACCGGCCGGCGCCTGAGACGCCGGTAGCCGGCTAAACGAACAATGCCGGCCGACCCTTCCCCCCTGCCCCGGCGGCCCGCTCGGCGCGGCCGCCGCGCGGGCTGGCGCGCTCGGCGTGCGAGGGGACATGGGAGCAGCGGACAGCTGACTGCTTCCGGCACTGGGGCCCCGAACGGGTCTCGCCGTGTAGAGTGCCAAACACCGGCCAGCGACCACCGACGGGACGATCACACCGCTGAATCTGCCAGACGTGCATACGACCGGGCACACCTGATGGTGGTGCGTGACCGACTAAGCAACGACACCACTCGTGAAGTAGCCGAGACTATCCGGCGCAGTCTTCCCGCGTATCTCATCCGCTGTCTTAATCGATCACGCCCCCTCAGCCCTGCGGAAGCGGCATGTGGACCCCGCCCCGCATCGAGGACTCTCCAGTCCAGCCGGCCGACCGACCCGCCCAAATTGCTGATCGGCGCCATAAATATTCAAAGTATCAAACCCAAACTTCAAGAGCTGACCTGCGAACTCGCTCGTCGCAACTACGACGTAATGGTGCTTTCCGAGACCTGGCTACGTCCGTCTACCCCGAAACGCCTCCTGGTCATTCCGGGCTACTCGCTCAGTCGTGTGGACCGCCCAGATGGCAGCGGTTATGGCGGCGTAGCCATCATCACTAAAAACAGTTTGACGTCAATGACACTGAAGATCCCCGGCAGCGGGAGCTCCGAAAGCAAGCTGGAGTCGCAGTGGGCGCTGCTGAAGCTGGACAAGGGCCAACAGATAATCATCTGCTCCCTCTATCGGCCACCCCGACACTCTGAGGCTGCCCTGCTCGCCGACTTCACGGACCTCGAGGCCCAGCTGCAGCGGGTCCTCATCGATTACCCCAGAGTTCCGTTCGTTCTCTGCGGGGACCTCAACTGTGACCTATTGAAGGGGCCGAGTTTCCGCGCGTCTCAACATCTGATCAGCTTCTTATCAAATTATTCTTTAGATCAACTAGTAACAAATCCAACTTTTACCTCCGGCTCTCTATTGGATGTATGTATTGTTAACAAACGCGAACTTGTGTGTGACACCAGCGTTAATTATTGTCACTTCAGTCCCCATAAAATCATCGACGTGATTGTCAATGTGCCGAAAGTGCGTCAAAAGCCCGCCGTTATCTCATCTCGCTCTTTTAAGCGCCTAGATCACCCTACACTGTATCACGACTTACTCGATGTCGACTGGGATTATGTCTTCTCTGCCGAAACTGTCAGTGACAAGTGGCATGCTTTCTTGTCGTTCTTCGTACCTGTTTTTGATGCCCATGCCCCAATCAAGCGTGTGTCTATCCGTAACCCGACCGCTCCTCCCGTCTCCGCCGCCACCCGTAACCTCATGTCTCAACGTCGCGCTGCGCTTCGCCATCTAGGCCGCAACTCGAGCGAATACAGAGACCTAAACCGCTCAGTCCGGGCGGCAGTGCGTCGAGACAGGCGAATAGAGATACGGAGGGAAATTGGGGAGCGGGGCCCCAACAAAGTTTGGCAGTGCATCAGGTCAGTGGTAGCCGCGAAGAAGGACGGCCCAGACGTCCAGCCCGATCTATCTGCCGATGATTTAAATTCATTTTTTGTATCTGTCGGTCCTCGTGTCGCTGACGAGATCCGAACCCAAAACACTCCCACCGATTTGGATGTGCGTCTCACCCGTGTCGGCGCATGCACTTTTCAACTTCGTGAGATAACACTGGGGGAGCTCGAGCGGATTATTTTCAGCATGCGTAACTCGAGTGCCTGCGGCTCCGATAACGTCTGTGTCCGCATGCTGAAATTCGGATTCCCCGCTATTGGTGGTGTCATCCTGCATATTATCAATAACTGCTTAATCCAATCTGACATCCCCGATTCATGGAAACATTCCATAGTTCACCCTCTGTTCAAGTCTGGTAACCCTTCAGACCCCGCAAACTTCCGACCCATTTCCCTAGTTCCTGTAATCATGAAAGTAGTTGAACGCATTGTCCATCAGCAGCTCTACGCCTACCTCTCCCATAATCACCTTCTGGCATCCTCCCAGCACGGCTTCCGCCCCCGGCACTCCACGGAAACCGCGTTGCTGTCTGTCACTGAACACATCCTGGCCGCCACTGATAGGGGGGATTTGTCAATGCTATGCCTTCTCGATCTCAGTAAATGTTTCGACGTGATTGACCACGATCTTCTGATGCAAAAACTGATGTTACACGGCATTGAAATTTCCTGGTTCGCCGCGTATCTACATGGACACACTCAGAGCGTGTCTTTGAAAGATGTATCCGGACGTAGAGTGCTGTCTAGGCCTCTTTCTAATGCCATGGGTGTCTTCCAGGGCTCTGCGTTAGGGCCGCTTCTTTTCACCATTTTCTCTAACAACTTATCGCTATACGCGGGCGACGCAAAAGTGTTTCAGTATGCCGATGACACTCAAGTATTGGTTAGCGGTCCAGCTCGGGACCTCGAAGTTCTCATCTCGCGCATGGAGGACTCGCTCGCGTCTCTCAACGACTGGTTTTGCGCTAACGCCCTCAAAGTGAACGCAAGTAAAACACAGCTTATTGTATTTGGCACTCGTCAAAATCTTCGTAAATTACCAGACTTTAGAGTACCATTCCGCAACGCAGCGTTGCAACCGTGCGCACAAGTCGGGAACCTTGGCGTCACTTTTGACAGCACTATGTCATGGGACGCACACGTCTCTGAACTCTGCCGCCGGTGTACGGGACTGCTGATTGGTCTTTCACATGCGCGCCACTGTCTCCCAGATGGCATCATTCGAACGCTCGTGACGGCACTCGTTGTATCGCGTATCCAGTACTGCCTTTCAGTTTATGGTAATGGGTCCCAAAAAAATTTCGATCGACTCCAAAAAATTCTTAACTTCGCCGCTAGAGTTATTTTCGGCCGCCGTAAATTTGACCATGTCTCCGACCTGCGAACAAAACTCGGGTGGTTGTCCCCGCGCGGTATGTCCGATTTCCACACCCTTGTCATCGCACACAAGATCATACAGCGCCGTGAACCTGAGCAACTAGCAGCCCTGTTCGTCGCTAATAGCGCTATCCGCGAGAGACCATCCAGACAAGATCACTTCTTCCATCTTCCCCGTCCACGGCTGGAAACGGGCAAGCGGCGGTTTGGCTATCGAGCTGCAGCTCTGCTGAACAGCCTGCCACCTCACCTGTCGCAGCTGCCTCCCGCCCGCTTCGCCCGCGCTGTTAAAGCCGCAATCGTGGACGATGAATCAGCACATCGTCGCTGACCAATAGGATAGGGGTGGGTAAAAGCGATGAGGCTGTCCTGAGAGTGTTTTGTCCTTGTTTTGACGTGAGTGAATGTGCAACTGTTTTGAATGATTAGATTAGCAACCGCGGATACGGATTCTGAGCAGTAATCGCCACGCACTTTGTATGTGGATCGCTCTTAAATGTAAATACAAATACAATACAATACAGTAAAAGAAAGACCAACAAACAATTCAAATAGTTACCCCTATCAAACTCTTCCTAAATCTTTCGTCATGCTACTCCCTCACCACCACATCTCCGCCCTGTCGCCCCGGCATTGTACTCACAGCACGTTGGTCCAGTTGGGCAGAGCGGCCGGCAGCTGGCGCAGATCCCGGCTGCTGCAGTCCACCGTCAGGTCGAAGCACACGCACTGGCTCGGACAGTGCTGACCGCTGGTCGCCGCTGACGTTAGCTCGGGGCCTGGAGGGGCCTCCGTCACCGCCGCGGGCCGGCCAGGCGCCTCACTCGACGAGCGCGCGACCTCATACAAGTCCTCTGAGTCCTCATCCGCGTAATCGGCCTCATCCAGAGGGTCCACAGTCTCGCTCGAGCTGTCACTCACAGGGCGGAACGCTCCGTACGCGACGCCCTCGGCTTCACTCGCGGGGCCTGTGTCCTCACTCAGAGGGCCCACGGTCTCCAGCGCTGCCAATGTCCGACCGGGCGCACCAGCGGCGAGCTCCGCGTTCACCGTCACACCGTCACTGATTGCATTGGTCTGCAGTTCCAGCTGCTCTGTGTGCAGCAGCTCAGGCTGCAGGGTGGGCAGCGCAGCAGCGCCAGCCAGCAGGTGCAGCAGCACTGCCGCCAGCCGGGACCTCCTCATGGCGTGTGATACCAGCGCTCAGGGGCTGAACATCTGAAGCAAAGGTGCATAATTTGGCTTTGGTATGATAATGAACAGGCACACAACCCCCTTCTCCATCTCCAGCAAGCACATATTTGTATGCATGCAAAAACACAGAAGACAGCAAATACTTACATTATATTTCCTAACCGCATTGGCTGAAAAGAGTGCTTGAAAGATTTTGGGTGCAGAACTATTTATATGCTAAGAACAAGCTTTTGAACTTGGCATTTGCACCAGTGGGAACAGAAACTGGTCATATTTCCAACAATTATTATCACTGGTATAATTGTACAACAAAGCAAATATAACAAAAAGAAATGTAAATGTAAGCCAAAGTTCAAACATTAGATCTGGCCAGATATGGGAAAACAAGAATAACTCCCTAAAGTTTGTGGTATTGGTAAAGCTGACATCACACAAAGATTTTCCAACCAAGCAGAGGCACTATATCTGGAGATGCTTCTTTATAACCAAACCAAAACCAATGTTATCTAGCCTGACCTAACCTAATCTTCAACTTACAATGTACAATGTACAACCTAAACCCTCAACCTACAAACCTACAGTGCCTGTCCTTGGTTGGAAGACCTTTGAGTGAAGTCTGCTCCACTAACTAATGCCATGTTTGTATCATCTTACAAAGATTCAACTGTGCCTGCAAATATTATCCCCTCATTATTTATAATCCTAAAGGTAGTTTTCTCATTCTTTACCTTCACAGCCAAATGTAAATTGAACATGCCAAGCTATTAGAATGTCATGAATAGCAGCTATTTTTATTAATTGATGCTTTCTTTTCTCATGTTTCAGTCAAGGCATTTGCTAAAATTTGTAACATGACATAGCAGAATAATTCATTCTCCCTCTTCCTTTATTGTGTCTGGCTTTATTGAGCATTTAGATTTTAGTCACAGGTTTGAGGTGAGTCAGTGAGGTCAGACATAACATATCACATGACATTAGGACTGCTTACATAAAGCAATGCCTTAGTTTGGCAGAGGAAACACATGGAAAACACATGGAAACAAATGAAGCATTAGTCATTGAGGTATCAATTAATTTCATGTGTTTTGTAGATGTTGATCAGTCAGAACTGATGGATGGCTATGGCAGCCTTAAATGAGTCAAGAAAAATGGTAACAACAGTTTCCAGAGGGATCCAGATCGCAATTTCACAACATGATGAAAGATGCCTCAATTGACAACTTTTATATACATATCAATATGTAACAAACAAAATAATACAGTGCTTTTCTGGTCTGTTAAAACACAAAGTTTGTTTATTGTTATAACGCATGCTATTATTGTATTGCTTGTTGTTGACCCACAACGCGCATGCCACCAACCAATGGCATTTCCTAGTTAAAGTGACTATCCCACCTTAAGTTGAGATAGCCAAATTGATGGCCCACTGGCCATGGCCTGCAAATACCGGTTTGGGCACTCACAACATCGAAAAATGCTTTAATTCTGAGATATGGAATATCAAACTTGCAGTTTTCGGATTCTAAGGTGAAGGGGCTAATGCATTGGAATGCCCCCTTAGAATTTGTGATGTCAGCGGTGATCTAACGATTTTAAAACCTTATACTAACATCTTTGTGAAGCAGTGGTGGTATATGCTATTTGCGTGCAACATCTGCCACAAACGCCATACTTCCAAAATTAAGTCGCTAGGAACAGCGGAGATCCCAAAAAGTAAACAGAAGTAAAAGTCTAATATCTTGAAAACCGGTGAATATTTTTCGGTGAAATTTGGTAGATATTCGTTTTTGCTCTTTCTGAACCGAGCAACATCACTTTCATGCCAATTCATTAACATTTTTGAAGGTGGGACGGCCTCTTTAAAACTGATCCATTCCTATCTTACTAATAACTAAACCTTACTAGAACTACAAACTAGAAGTTCCATCCATAGGCAAACAAAAAAACATAATTGAATAAGTCAAAAAAAAAACACAAAGCACAGACAACAGTAGTGCACAAAGCAATGGTATAAGCGACGCAAATCAGCACAACATTTTGACTCGTCTGCGACAGAAGGTAGCGCACCATCTTTGTCCCAAATATCTTACCTTACTTATGTAAAACCAATCACACTGGATATGTCAATCGACATTTCATACACTGCTAGAAATAAATAATTAAATACAACAATCAATACAGTCGCACATTAAAAATCCTGATATCCAGTCTTACACCACCGACGACACGACCACAATGGCACCTCACTTGCGAATGACTGCCAGGCAATATTGTGATTTACAAGATTCGCTCAAGTGCTTCCTCTTTCAGATGTAAGTGACGTAAATTGATATTTTTACATTCTTCTTTGCATTATTTTGCAGTACCTTGCGATCTTTAAATTATTTTCTGAATTTTTGTACTTAAATTACTAACAATAGTACGAAATTACTTAAAAAAGGTACCTTAAGCATGCTTAAGCACTACAATTGATGACGTCATAATGACCGAAACCCTAAAATGGAACAATAGCGCCAAGACACGAAGGTTACAAGTCATAGTTGAATCTATCGCCGCTAGGTGGCAGGAACACAGCTTGATTGAAGCCAAGGCCCTGGGGCGGTGGAAGTCAAGATAACTATAAGAAACGTGGAAGTAGGGTGGAGGGCAGTGACGTACCCAAGGGGGGGGGGGCTGAGCGCCGAAGGTGCGAGGAGCGGTCCAGCGATAACTCTGGTGGACCCTCAGCAGCAGCACGCCGGTCGGCGGTCGCCAATTAGACAGAACGTCTTTTACTCGAATGAAAAATTTAATATCGATGAGAGATTTTGTCACAGTGACGAGCCGACAGCGTCCCTTCCTAAATGATGGCTACTGGTTACCTGATGGGCCCCCTGGTCACCTGAGGGGCCCCCTGGCCATCGGAGGGGCCCTCGTCACCCGAGGGGCCCCAAAGTCACATGAGGGGCCCCTGGTTACCTCACTGGTCACCTGAAGACCCCCTGGACAACTGATTGTCTCCTATTCACCTGAGGGGCCTCCTGGTCACCTGAGGGGCCTCCTGGTCACCTGAGGGGCACCTGGCCATCTGAGGCTCCCCTAGTCACCTGAGGAGCCCCCTGGTTACCTCCCTGGTCACCTGTGGGACCCCCTGGTCATTTGAGGGCCCCTAACCACCTGAGGGGCCCCCTGGTCATCTGAGCAGCCCCTGACCATCTGAGGTCCCCTGGTCACCTGAGGGTCCCCCATGATTACCTCCGTGGTCACCGGACCGGAGAGACCCTCTGGTCATCTGAGGGACCCCTGACTACCTGAGGGGCCTCCTGGTTGCCTAAGGGGCCACCTGGTCACCTGAGGTGCCCCTGGCTGGCTATCTGAGGGACCCGTTGTCACCCGAGGGGCCCCTGGTTACCTGAGGGGCCTCTTGGGCACCTGAGGGACCTCCAGGTCACCTGAGGGGCCCCCTGGGCACTTCAGGAGCCTCTGGTTACCTCAGGGCCCCTTAGTTACCTCACTGGTCACCTGAGGCGCCCCCTGGTCATCTGAGCGGCCCCTGACCATCTGAGGGACCTCCTGGTCACCTGAGGATCCCCTAGTTACCTACCTGGTCATCCGAGGGGCCCCCTGGTCATCTAAGGGGCCCCTGTCAGGGCCTGACCACCTGAGGGGCCTTCTGGTCGCCTGAGGGGATTTCCGGTCACCTGAGGGGCTATACCTGGTCACCTAAGGTGCCCCTGGCTGGCTATCTGAGGGGCCCTTGATATAACTGGCTCCTGGTTATAAGAAGTTCTCCTGGTCAACTAGTGGGATCTGGTCAATCAAAAGTCCGCTGGTCACCTGAGAAACCCCTGATCACTGATTGGCAGTGGCATAACCAGGGGGCGAGGGGGCATGTGCCCGTTATCGAGTTAAAGTTCCCCCGGGCCCGAGGGGCCCTGCAGTGCCAATTGGCGGCACAGGGTCCACGCTGACCACCCTTCAATTAAAAAGAACCGGCAGGGCCGGCACCCGGCCGGGTACCCAAGATTACCTACTTTATAACTCGGGTTCTCATTCGCCAATCACCAGCGCTGCACCAAGTGCACATCATAGCTGTAACATTCAAGTTAAATTGCATCTCGGTGCACGGGTTTTCGGTCTCACCATGTTTTCATTTTTTTTTTTTGAATAAATTTAGCTCGAATCTTTGAATGGACGGATTGATAAAGCCCGGGTACCCACGATAAGCAGAGCTTGTTGCGTACACCCCCGACCCCTATCGTCCGATCGCGCAATTACAGGTAACGGGAGAATTTAGATGCCAAAGTTTCACGTGCCCTTCAAAGCCGGACACGGCCTGTCCCACTCAACTGGCTTCAACCGGCTGCGGCTGCTCCCACCAACCGCAGACCATCCCCGTCAGTAGTCTCAAATATCGAGCGCCCGAGCGACTAGAACCCGGGCTATCACTACCGGGATTCCAATTAACGTTCTACCAACTGAGCTACGGGACAGGCAAATTGGGAGGTAAATTAGGCAACTTAGCTATATGTAAGGTAAGTCACCTGTTTGAACCAGGGCTGCGGAGTCGGATTTGGAGTCGGAGTTGGAGTCGGTCGGAGTCGACAGTTCTGCCCGGAGTCGGAGTCGGAGTCGCCAAAATCTTACCGACTCCGACTACGGGGTCCGAGCTAACGTTGCATGGCTCAACGTCATGCACCGCAATCAAACGTCAACGTCCTGTTTGATTGACGATACTGCGCTCGAAATTGGATTTTGTCGAAAAAAGCCATTTCGCTGTTTTGGAGGAACGTTTTCAGCTAAAGAAACGGAAGACGGCGAATGCCCCGGAACCTGCTTTTTAATGCTGCATGTTATTTGTAATGCATATTTGCAGCGCAAAGCTTTAGAACGCACGCGGGATCGTTTCAGGCCGGATAAAAACATCTCCATTATAAAAATTCAATATCATGAACCCGCGCCGTGCTGGTGGCCTGAGTTTTCCGTGTCCGGTACTGGGGGGGGGGGCTTTTCACGTCCCCCGTGTAACTCGGCTCCTTGGCCACGTAGCGACACGTGGTAAGCGGCAATCGGAAGAGCGTAAAAAATTATGTCGGAAGTACTGCAGTCAAGGTCAGGTCAAATGTCAGGCCACCAGAAGATATCAAAGGTCAAATTTTGTCTATTTCAATAATTTCCGAATCACCCGGCTGCTAACTCGGGAACCAATAGAGCAACAGCGCTACGGAAAAGCGCATTCGATAGCCCTTTCACAGACCTTCCTTATTCTTATTCTCAGATTTGACCTAACGTCAACGCTTTAGCCTCCAGAGCCCAGAGGGCAAAACTAAAAATAGCAGTTTTCACGAAAATGTTTTTCGGTAATAACTTTTGACTCAAGAGAGCCACGACATTACTTTTGGCAGCATCGTGTTCTTCTCTTCTCGTCGAGACGCGTTGAATGAACAATAAGTTGACCTCGAAAGGTCAATCTGAAAATTTGACCTCAGGTCAATGTCATGACCTGACCGGAAAGGGTCATGTTGCATATCAGTCGATCCGTATCGTCGAGCTGAACACAACTGACGTGTTTTCAACGCTCTAGCACGTCTCTATAAAAAGTTATAATAAAAAACTGATGGTGACTTTTCATGGCCTGACATGACCAGGCCATGGGCACACAGAGGGATCACAGGTGCAATTTTCCGTTTCAGTGTGTCATGTTTACTTAAGAACCGATGTTTGAGAAGGCTTAGAAAGACATTCGTCCAAAAGAGGCACATTTCACTTTTCTCCCATTGACTTAAAGGGACCCTCCCACCTTCAAAAAAGTTTATGAATTGGCATGAAAGTGATGTTGCTCGGTTCAGAAAGAGGAAAACGAATATCTACCAAATTTCACCGAAAAACATTCACCGGTTTTCAAGATAGTAGACTTTTACTTTTGTTTACTTTTTTGGGATCTCCGCTGTTTCTAGCGACTTTATTTTAGAAGTGCGGCGTTTGCGGCAGATGTTGCGCGCAAATTGCATATACCACCGCGTGCTACAAAACGTTTTAGTCAAACATTTAAAAATCGTTAGATATCTGCGCTGACGTCACACATTCAGAGGGGTATTCCTAAGCATTAGCCCCTCTGAATCAAAATGCTGCAATTTTGAAATTCAATATTTCCGATTTAAGGCATTTCTCGATGTTGTGAGTGCCGAAACCGGTAATTTTGAGCCAGGGACCCCATTTTGGCTATCTCAACTCAAATATAATGTTAAGGTGGGAGGGTCCCTTTAAATGTCGTAAAATTGACCTGACCTTAAGTCACAGTTATAAAAAAAATCCGATACATATGTTTTATAGATACTGTTACTCTTATCAATCTCTGAAAGTTTCAAAGTGACCAGAGGCCAGTTTTACCAACAGAAAATAGCCGTCTGCCGGATTTTTTTGCCTTATGACCGCTTCACATACCTACGGAGCGTAAACGGTAAAGCCCTCTCCGCTTACGTGCCCATTGCGTTTATGCTCCGTATGTGAAGCGGCCTGTAGGCTTCCGGCAGGCGGCTATTTTTCTGTTGGTAAAACTGGCCTCTGGTGAACGACCCGGGCCCTAAACTTTCACATGTGCGGAAAGGAACAGGTGTACCAAAAACGGCAGAGCTGCGCACCGCCGTTTTTTTATTTAGATATTCGCAAAAAAACGAGGGGAGGGGCGTGACGCTCCCCCCCCCCCCCCCCAGCACGGTGCGGGTTGATAGAACCGTCCGGAGGCGGAGTCGATTTTTGAAGCCAGAGTCGGAGTCAGAGTCGGAGTCACCCTAAAATCCATCGACTCCGCAGCCCTGATTTGAACACACATTTGTAACATCTGGCAAACTACGAGCCCGGCAGCCTGTAGGAGGTAACAGTCAACACAACAATGAGCAAACTGAATAGCGGCCGATGTAAGCGTCTCAGCGCAATGTCTGGACATGGCGCCACGGTATTTGTCACTGTTTCTGAAAGGTCACATCGAAAAGCCAATTATTCCTTCGCTCAGGCCCCGGAGACGTCAGCGTCTGCAAAGGGAACGTCCATCATACACACCTATAGGGCAGAAACATCCGCCAGCCGACTAAAAAATGAGGCCGTCATTTCTCTACCTACGCCGAACAGCGCCGCTTGCCATCCCGGAGACGCGCACGGCGACCCGTCAGGTCGCCCACTTAGCACGTCAGTCGCGCTGGGTCTGTCTGTCACCGGCGCGGCCTTATAACACCGCGCGGGGAGTCTGCGTCACCACAGCCTCTGCTCCGCTCTGCTGCCGGCTACAGGATGCTCGCGCTGACCCTGCTCGTGACCGCGCTGGTCGGCCTGGCCTCCGGCCGGCCCAACAACGTGCGCACGAGCGTGGTGGCCTCGCAGACGGACTGGACGCGCGGCGGCTCGTCGCAAGTGTCCCAGGCCCAGGGCCAGGCGGCGGCCAACTCGATCGGCGTGCAGACGGCGCCCGGCTTCAACCAGCGCGACGACCGGGCCGCCAACGCCGCCATCGCGCTCCAGGGTCAGTACAAACGGCACGGGACACTGCAGGCACGTCTCCGTACAGATGTCGGGGTAGGGAGAGGTCCGTGGATATGGGAGGGATAGAGCCAGGTCACTAGTCAGTGCCTACACATGTAGGTATGTCATTTCAAGTCGTTTGGAAACAAGTTTCCATGAAAACGTTCAGGGCGCCCACGTTGTTTTAAAACGGGCTAAAAAGAATATAATAAAATCAAAGCATATTATTCATTCTATTCTTCCTTTATTTTGTGCCCCTCCGGCATTTGTATTGCCATCAACTTAAACGGTCACATTGAAGTTTGGGATCATAATAGCCGGTAGCCGGCCGCCACCGGCTACCGGTGACTGTGCCTGCGGTGGGACAATGGGTGGTCCAGGATGAGGGTGCACTAATACTCATGATGAAAACAAATGTTTATACAATTACATGTATTTCCACAATACAAATAATGCGTCACACAAACAATACACAACTTGCAGGTGCATCAGATTAATGCACAAAGGTATCCAAATGTCCGAGTTTAATTTGTCCAGTTAGTTAAAAAAACTAGTCCGTTTCAAGACGATTAAGTTCATTTTTAACGCACCGTTTGCGTGCAAGCTCACGTTGGTCCCCACGACCCCCCATCACCGACTAATCATCCACGCCGATCCGTGTTGCAGGTGCGTCTGTCGGTAACGGCGACGTCAGCCAGGCGGGCGGCGTGACCAGTGAGACGCAGGGCCGGCTCGGCAACATCGGCACCCTGACCACCTCCGTCAGCAACGGCCGGTTCAACAACGCGGCGGCCACGGCGGCGCTGTCCGGCGGCGCGGCGGCCGCCCAGCAGGTCAGCCAGGCGGGCAACCTGGTGGCCGGCGGCCGGACGGTCGGCCAGCGCGGCGCCAACCTCAACCTGGCCACCGCCGGCTCCGTCAGCACGCAGACGGGCTCCCGCGGCACCGGCGCCTTCGGCAACACGAACGCCGTGCAGACGAACGCCGAGCACGTGGGCCCGCTGCCGGCGGCCGGTCTGCCCGCCGCGCCCGGCGTCATCCTGCAGGGCGTCGGCACGCCGGCCCTCGGCAACCTGCGCACCACGCCGCCGCCGCCGCCCATGCCCATGATGATGATGAGAGGCCGGGGCGGCCACAGGGACTAGACCAGCCGGGCAGCTTAGGTAAACATACCTATAACACATCGGCGGGCTCCAGCTAGACTGATACGCTCAACGACGGAAAGGATCGCGTGCGAGAGATTTACGGTAAACGTAGGTAAATAAAATTTGCTAAGAACATTTGAACGTGCACTAATACAATTTAAGTGTAGCGATCAACTTCAACAAGGAACGAGGCAGCTTGCAACCATGCATGATAGTGTAGAATGATGTTTTGTACGTGAGATCGTCTAATATACCTACCTGTTGGTACCTATATCATCTATCTTTGTCTAGGGGAAGATGAAGAAGGTGCTGTAAGATGACTCCAGAATGCGACAAGCAGAAATGCGCGGGCAGCTTTAGGGAAATACCTAAATAGACAAGTTTAATAAAAAATATAATTTCATTAAAAAAACTTACCTGAAAAAGTTATTATGTAATCTAGTTATTATGTAATCTAGCCGAGGAATGAGCCTGATATGGGACGACACCTGCTGCGACACCTTCTCTGCAACTGCTGTCGTCAGCTCTGCCTTGAGTCCTGGCAGCGCAGCTCGCTGTGCGGAAGAACGCAAGCGCGTCCGATATGCCGCTCTCCGTGAGAGATACGTTTTCGTTCCTTTCGCGTTTGAGACATCTGGGACCGTATTCACGTCGAATTCGTAAGTCGATTTTCTTTCGTAAGTATAATTTGGTATTCACGTCGACACTTCTTTAAGTTTTTATCGACGGAGTTCACGTCAATAAAAAATTTACTTAAAAAGTAGGTCAAACTTAAGAAAATGTTTACGAAAATGATCGACGTGAATATCCTGGGTCCAGCGGCCACAGGTCTCATGATGGAGCTTGGCCGTCGGCTGACGTCAAGCACCGGGGACAAACGGGAAACAGCCTGGCTGGCACAAAGGGTTTCGATCGGTGTGGCCGGGGGCAATGCTGCCTCTGTGCTGGCCACAGCTAATGCCGGGTTCACACTAGATTCTGGACCGGCAAAATTCCGTCTGCCGGGCCGGAAAAATGGCCAATTCCGTGCCGGAAAATTGAAAACTGGTGTGAGCCGGCAAATCTGGCAACTTCTTTTGACCGGTCCGGCAGGTCGGAGAGCCAGATTTTCCGGTCCGGCAAGAAGTTGAAATCATCTCAACTTTTAGCTTGCCGTGTAGCCACCGTTTGTGACATGAAATTAAGGCACGAGGGAAATAATGTTATGTTTCAGCGCTACAGGCCCACGTAGCGGCTTATTAACCCACGCCCTGGTGGGGTTTGGTCACTGATGACGTCACAGGTCAGGTCAAAGATAAAATGTTTCGCCGTTCACGGGTCTTCTAGGGAATGTGCTATAACATCGAGTAAAACACATTTTATCGAAAATCAGCGATAGGGCGTCAGTTGCCTAGTACATACATATGCTGCTATTGGTCACTGATAATACCAGGTCAGGTCACAGGTCAGGTCACCAAGGGTCAGCACATTAACCCTCGCCCGCACATGGGGAGGGGGTACTTTTTCTGCTCTGCACTCAACATTTTTAGAGCTAGAAGGCTGATTTTTCGTATAGCTGCTCCTCTATCCTTTCTTGATGTCCACTGAAAAATTTCAGGTTTCTGTGGTTTTTGGTTTCGGAGATATGACCTTGTTTTTCAGGTCATGTCATGACCCAAATGACCAATTCTCAACATCTTGCGTTGGCTTGTGAGCTTTTGACACCCTGATTTCGGCCTTTTTTGCCAGTCTTACCTCCCACCTATCATGAAACATGTTGTTCGACGATGTACAGATGTCAAGGTCAGGGTCAAGGTCAACCTAGGTCATCTAAAATAATTGCGTTTTAGGCAAGCTGAATTTACCTTTCGTGAAGTTTTTTGACTGCATAGCTTCTCAGATCATGATTTCATGTAATATGGACACATAAACAATCGGTGCACACATCAGTATACCTACACACAGACACATACAGACATACAAACACATATCATTGACCTTGACCTGAAATGACCTCAGCAGCAAAATCCTGGTCGGGTAGTGTGACAAAGAGGTTCTAGCTGGCTTGGCACCAGAAAACGGCATCGTCATCGGTATATGATAAGCAGCGCACTTGATATCCAGCGGTGACCCGAAACAGCAACATTTTTTTAGTTTGACCTGACCTGGAAGGTCAATGACAGACCTGAGAAGGTAAAACTGGGTATCAGGGATGCGGAGCCGGAGCCGGAGTCGGAGCCGGAGCCGCCGGAGCCGGCATATTTTGCCCGGAGCCGGAGCCGGAGCCGGAGCCGTGAAACAATATAGCCCGGAGCCGGAGCCGGAGCCGGAGCCGCCAAAAAAGGGGGCGACTCCGGCTCCTTTTTATTTTTTGAAGAGGAAAAAAAAAATAATTGACCTAGTTCGGTTTGACAGTACAAGGCAGTAAAACATATGGTACTTACGTCATGGGCCATCAAGTGAATGAAAAAATCCGAATATCCCCAGTATCCCACAGTACGCAAACAACTTCCTGTTTGCTCTTCCCCCCCCCCCCCCCACGTCTACTGCATCCCCAGAACATGAGGACCAGTCATCAGGTGACGGCCATTGTTTTCAAACCAGTGCAGTGGACTGCGACTCCCAGCACCGTCTCATCCCACACCCCCCCCCCCCCCCCACCTCTCACCCCCCAATGCAGCCGAGACGGGTGTCAGCTTACGATGGTTCACTGAACTCCGTTTCGCGGCGACTGCGTTTCCAATGCCATCGCTTCCTAGCCCTTTGTTCTGCCAGTTCTCTCCGAGGTGCGTTTGCACGGGGACGCGGTGAGCCGGTCATGGCAAAGAGTAACGCGTATAACCAATCCAATTTTTCTTCCACCCGTATTTAATTGATTGCGTAGGGGATGTACTGAGTCGGAGCCGGAGCCGCCGGAGCCGGAGCCGCCGGAGTCGGAGCCGCCGGAGCCGGACCATTTTACTCGGAGCCGGAGCCGGAGCCGGAGCCGCCATAACATTTCACCCGGAGCCGGAGCCGGAGCCGGAGCCGATTTTTTTCTCCGGAGCCGGAGCCGGAGCCGGAGCCGTCTGAAATTTCCACGGCTCCGCATCCCTGCTGGGTATCATTGGATTCGTCTCTTCCCAAAGAATCTTTTTGGTCTTACCGCGAAGCTCTATCTCCAACAGGAACGAAATGGCGCGGGGGGCGGCAACCCCCCCCCCATGTGCGTTCTAGGATGGGAAAATGGCATGTGCGGGTGACGGTTAACCCAATTTTACTAGGGCTGTGCGTGCGATGCATGTTTTATGGCCAGTTTTTCATTTCCAAATCAATGGTGTTGGTTATAACCAACACATATGGTCATATAACCATCACATATGGTGATGGTCATATAAATATGACCATCAGGAACGGTTTAAGTCACTTCCTGGACCCTGGTGGAGGTCAGGTCAATGTCGCCGGTCCCGTAGCTCAGTTGGTAGAGCGTTGGACTCCGCGTGGTGAGAGCACGCGTTCCCGGTTGTAACAGTCGGGGTTCGAAGCGCGACGGGCGCTCGACATTTATGGGCCTCCTGACAGGTATGGTTGCGGTTGGTGGCAGGCCGTAGCCAGGCGAAGTCAGTGAGGGGACCGGCCGTGCGCGGCTATGTGCGCACGTTAAACTTTGGACTCTAAATTCTGCCATATAGTACCGGAATTGCGCGATCGGAGGGTAGAGGGTAGGGTCACCGCAACAAGCTTCGCTTAGCGGCGGCTCTGTCCTTGTCAATCCTTCCTATCAAAAGGTTCGGACTAAATTTATTAAAAAAAATGTCAGGTCAAAAAAGGTCAAATTTCAAAGTTGATATTTTTGCATAAAATGGGTATCGATTCGATGCAGCTCGTCACGGCGAGTCTAATGGTGGTCTTTGTTTTGCGCTACGTGGTCCAGAATTGCAAAAAAAAATGAGTTTTGAAAATTTTGACGTCATCATTTTTGAAGTTTTTCGCTAACTTGGCCAAAAAAAGAGATATCGATCTGAAATTTGGTGTGTAGATAGAACACGGTAGGTACTATCATATATATTCCGTTTTTTCCCGAAATTAGAAAAAACTTGAATTTTTTGGCTAATATATCCAAAAAATAGTTTTTTTGGGGGTCAAAACTCGAAATTTCAAAAATCCGAGATAACAGTTGCGTAGCCCTGTCAATTATACAGCTTTTATGTCCTTATCATTTTTCTGTATTTTCAAAGCTATAGGCCTGACAGCTCTTCCCGCGAAACCTTTTTTTGGGTCGAAAACGGCAGAACATGACGTCACTCTGACGTCATTTCCGACCAACCTATCATAGCCTCTGGAAAAAATGTTTGGTTACAATGTGTAAAATTGAAGCCCGGGAGGGTACTGAAAGTTTGGTGACGATCGGCGCAGCAGTTCTGGAGATATATCGAAAAGTCTGGAGGGGGGACAATAACAGCCCCCCCCCCCCCACCAGGGCGCGGGTTAAGCACGGTAATAATGTCCACTTTTGGGTTTTTCGTCGGTCAATCAGTCCCCCCGTTCAAAATCCGTGGTGACGCCTCTGTTAAAAAAGAAATGTAAGAAAGTTATAATATAATGCTGCAAACGACCCATCCCTGGTACTGGGCACCGAATTACATCATGATCTGGGCGTTGAGTCACATATTTGTTCAACTCTGGGGTACACTGTGCTGAATTTTGTTCCTTGCATAATGCAACAATTCTTTCACACAAAAAGGACAAGCAGAAAGGAAAAATACAAACAAAATAATGCGCATTCTATCTGCATAGCAAGTTTATTTAGAGATAAAAGCGCATTTGCTTTGAGAGCTCAAAGTCGTCGACTCAAAACTCCGCATCAGCGTCGAGCACGCGTCCACCAAGCATTTACCACCAACTTGCAGAATTGAACATCTTACACCATAGGCGCGGGAACCGGGGGGGGGGGGGGCAGTGGGAGCAGCTTACCTCCCCAACTCTGGGGCCCCCACAACTTTGAGACGGAATACCGTACTTGTTTTGCAAATGTTTTCTTTTTTGGTTAAAAAAAAACCCGATGGATGAAAAATAAGTGGCCTAAAACCGGTGAGAAAACTAGATTTGGGGGTACCCTAGGTTGATCTCTATTATGTGTGCCCCCCCCCCCCCAGTCTGAAAGTAGTTCCCGCGCACGATCCCACAGATCTTGCCGTGCATGGCAAGCAAGGAGGCTCGTTATGCTTCCGGATCGCACGTGTTGCCCGAGCCTACTTCGGCAGCTCACTTCAGTTCTAAGACACGTTGCCAGAACCAGCGGTAAACAGTAAACACACGCATCTCGCACTCATTATCACGCACGTTTAGCTATTGTCCAGTGACATTAGTAATGGCGGCGGAACACCTTCAATTAAGGAGGGGGGGGGGGCACTGCCGACTTTTGGTCCCATTCTTTCCATGCAACGCCCATAGGGCTAATGTTAAATGCCCAAATTAAAGGGAGGCACGGTGCCCCGGTGCCACCCCCCCCGTTCCGCCACCTATGGACATTACAGGTTTTAATTCTTTGTCGCGGGCTTGTCCGCTAATTTCTGGTTCGGTTGAGCAAGTCTCCCTGTGCTCAATCGGAGCACGTTAGCTCTTACCCGGCGTGACTTGTTTTCTGGAGTCTCGAGCTCGACAATGGAGGCACGCTGGCGGACAGGCCTTGTGTCTGTGAGTGACCTACTCTGACCGTAGGTTTGATGTAGTAGGTAGACACGATCATCACGGCTTCGAGGGTAAAGGGCAAAAAAAAGGCACAGCAAAGTCACCGCAGAAAGGATGAACTGACTAACGGAGAAAACCGTCTAACTGACCTGTAAACGTGCACAGCGCACATTTCGTGATTGCCGCGGTGCATAACATTGCTAACGAATTCGTACTCAAAATTCAAAATTGATCAAACTGGCACAATGCATAATGCAGCGAATTACAATTCCTATCATACCACTGATGTTGGTTTTCACCCATGAGGCCGCAGTTCTCATTTTTGTTCATGTTGTTGGGCTGATCTTGTGACCAATTGGTGTAGTCCAGTGGTGAGGCGTCGCTCCACACGAACACCCCGTCGTCGTTAAGACGAACCAGGTCCAGCCACACGTCGGGGGCGCCCAGAGCTTCGATGAACTGACTGGAGTCGAGGCGCACCGACGCCAGACGGGCCCCCCGCTGCTGACTGGCGCACGAGTGGTGCGCCAGGTACCAGGACGTCTTCTGCAGGGTGACGAAATAGCAGCTGTTCTTATGACGACTCCAGCCAAACGGACACTCGCCGTCTTCCGGCGTCCTGGCGGCGGCCGGCGACTCCTGCGCGCAGCACCGGCCCCTCCAGATCTCCTGCAGGATTCTCTGAAGGGCGGCGAGGGTCTCCTGCACGGTCTGCTGCTGCGCTGAGCTCGTGTCTGCCAGGCTCTGGTTTCGCGCTGCGATCAGCTGCCGCTCAATCTCGCCGCGCGCAGCTTCGGCACAGGCCTCCGAGATACCCTTGACGATGTCGACAGCTGCGGGATGACTGAGGGTTGAGTCCGGGGCAGCGGTTGCCGTTCCTTTCAGCACGGTCACACCCGCGGCGCACAGGCACAGGCACATTAGCGGTGTGAGTTGCATGGTCAGACCAGAGTGGTGGCGTCAATGCCTCTGGCAGACAGTGGGCTGTTACAAGGTTTTAAGGCCAGCTCTGCTGGCCATGTGGCTCAGATCATAGGTGCAACTGTTTATTGACATGTGCATTGCCAGCCAAGGAGTTGTTCGGAATGTCCATGGGCGTGTTTAGTTTATTTTGTTGGCGTTCGTGCCGTCTACAGACGTCCACCCAGTCGAGGAATCCGGGGGGGGGGGACGTCCCCCACAAAAAACACCCACGAATGCGGGTGAGTTGTTTTATTTAATTCCAATGCATAATAGGAAACTCCGTGAAACCGAAAATTCCTATACACCGACGAGCAACTTCACCTGAATATGACTCATATGATGAGCAGCACCGGCGCATAAGAAAAATTGAGGCATAGCTCTTAATCGCGTAAACGGAGGTAACTGACCATAAACTGACAAGTAGACAAAGGGTGCTCTACACTTAATACTGTCAGCTTCGCCGTGGTGATGAAGGCGTAAATGCACATCTCATTATATATTTCCAAGACTGATAGATGAAAAACTCGGAAAAGCAATCGACAGCCCTGAACTGATATAGGTGTTTCCAACAATGCCTAGACCAATTTTTGATTTCCTTGCTACTGCTCCGATGTCCCTTTGACACGACACGCGGTATGCGGCAATCGAAAAAGCGTCAAAAATAATGACGGAAACACTTCGGCCATTTTTTAGGTCAGGTCAAAGATCAGGTCACCAGAGGGCATCAGAGGTCAAATTTAGTCCATTTCAACATTTTTGGAAACTGCCAACGGCTACCTCGGGAACTAATAGAGCTACAGCGCCGCAGAAAAGCGCATTCGATAGCCCTTTTACAGACCTTTCTTAGAAATGTTCTCATATTTGACCTCAGGTCAACGGTTTAGCCTCCAAAGGGCAAAAACTCTAAAAATAGCCGTTTTCACGAAAAATGTTGTTCGGTAATAACTTTTGACTCAAGAGAGCCACAACATCACGTTTGCCAGCTGTTCCTCTCGTCGACACGCGTCGTATGAACTATATGTTGACCTTTAAAGGTCATTTTGAAAATTTACCCTCAGGTCAAGGTCATGACCTGACCGGAAAGGGTTATGTTGCATATCAGTCGATCCGTATCGTCGAGCTGAACACATCTGACGTGTTTTCACTGCTGTAGTACGTCTCTATCAAAAGTTATAGCCAAAAAACTGCTGGTGACCGATCATGACCTGAGATGACCTCAGGGGCATACAGAGGGGTCACCGGTGCATTTTTCCGATTCAAGGTGTCATGTTTACCTATGAACGGACGTCTGGGAGCGTTTTGAACGAAATTTGTCAAAAAGAGGCGCATTTCCATTTTCTCCCATTGACTTATAATGGAGAGGTCGCAAAACTGACCTGACCTTAGGTCACAGATATAGAAAATCTGAGATATACATTGCATACACTGTTATTCTTATCAATCGTTGACACTTTCAAAGTGATCGTTTAGTCGGTGTAGCTAAAGCGAGCCTTAAAACTTTTCCGAGGTAAGTTCACTTGACGTGACCTGATGACCTGACCTTGAACGACCCGGGTCTGAAATTTTCACAACACGTGTGGAAAAGATGTCTGAACAGGTGTACCCAAAACGGCGGCGCACAGCGCCGCCGTTTTTTGAGATATTCGCGAAAAACCTGAAGGGGGTATTGTGTATTGTGTATTGTGTATAAAAACGCTCTCCCCAGCACGGCGCGGGTTAAAGGAAATAGTTCACTTTTTAACATGGGTTTTGAACTGGAATAGCAGTTCCGTAGCTTGGGCTGAGACGAGCATAAATCAGGAGCATTTACAGCCCAACGATCACCCTAGGCAAAGATATTCTATTTCTCGTCCCGAAAAAGGTGTATTGCGTTGAGGATGTGTGCCTTGCATATATTCGCATCCAGTATGAAAAGAGCATGGGTCCCGAAAATTCTTCAGAAACTAGTGAAATTATCTACGAGAACTCAAGAGAAATTCTCTTACTGATCAATAAGGACATTCAGCAGCAGCAGATCGCCCAAATGCCGGTGGCCGCGATAATTTCTCTAGTTTCTGAAGAATTTTCGGAACCCATGCTCTTTTCATACTGGATCGCCTGTGCCTTACAGAAACTGAAAAGTTCTTCTTATATCAAAATATAGAAAATAATCTTTTGTTATAAATAGGTTTTATTTTCTTTGCTGATCATTTTGAACATAAAAAATCATAAATCCATTGCAAAAAAAATAATTTCGTGAAAGTGAACTATTTCCTTTAAGGGGGCTGCGGAGTTGATTGATCGACTCCGACTCCATCTCCAACAGCGGGCAGGCCTCTTAAAACCCGAAGCACGGTAAAATAATTCGTGATCATGAGCCTTTTCCTTTTGACTGAGCGTTAAAACGTTTCTTGCCCACTGGCGGATGCAGAAAGACGGTCTTGGACGCATGCGGGGGGGGGGGGGGGGGGGCATAACCCCAAAAATTTTCTCCAATTTCTAAAAACTCCTATGATTTCAATTCCTTACGCGCACTGCTGAGCGGTTTAAACAAACTCAGACTTATAAGAAAAAGCTATACGGTTGAAAGTAACACATATGTTTAGAGGCAAAGCTAGTTGACTTGGTGATCAGACCTTAGATGTTCTGGTATCAAACTTGTTACACAGGCTGTAAAATTTATGTGTTTTGGAGCTGTTTTGCCCAGTGATTTTGCCAATTTTCGCGGCGCCGCCAACTCCCACTCGAGTGGAAAAGACGTTGTGAGTTGTGCATAATAAAGCACCCTCACACGCAGATATGTGTGCATTACATATCAGATTGGAGGCATATGTGAACAATTATACCCTGTCAAAAGTCAAGAGGCTTTGCCCTTAACCGTGTCATATTGAATCGAACTTCGGACGTGTACCTACTGTGTAGGAATTCGATCCATTAGACAGACAATGCAACGGCCTGAAAAAGTATCGGCGACAATACCATACTTATGAGTTTAGTTAGTCTGGGGGGGGGGGGGGGGGGGGGCAACCGAAAATCCGTGGCGACGCCCCTGGTCACTGTTGCTTGATAAAATGTGGGTACGAAAAGTAGGCGTAATAAGTAGACATAAATTACACGGGTCTTTGCTATAGATGAGTTGATTGTTACGCTGCTTTTAACGTTTCAGCGATGAGTGCTAAGAGGTCCAGACCCCCTGCTGTGTAAACACGCCGTGTTTAGCTCAAGCTGGGGAGGGGAGGAGTGAGAGAGGGCGGGATGCCAGGCCTCGTGATCATACAGCGGAAGGCAGGCTAGCTGAGGGGAGTGTGGCTATTCGCTCAGCAAAGAGAGTGCGATCGCACGGTCAGCAGAGACTTGACGAGACGTGTGACTAAACGTGCAAGTTAGAGGAGCATCGCTGGCAAAACGGTCGCTGGCGAAACAAGGCGAAACGGTGACGACATCCAGCAAGTGCATCTCCTTTTTAATATTTTCAGCAAGCACCCCTATCCGTGTGCCGGTGAAGACAGTATTGAGCCAACTGTGTGTCAGAGTGGCGATCACCCCGAGTCTCCGGTGTCGTCGCTGATCGCCGATGTCGCCTCTCCGTCTCTGTCTGACGGTGTGGTCAGTGTTGACGGCGTGGTCAGTTCTGACGACCCTGGCCGGGCCCGGGGTCGGAGCACAGGCCGTCGCTGATGTCCAGGTGGACGCTGGTCAACCTGTTGGCCCCCTACCCCACTTCTGGACGTCCACTGGCTTCTGGTAAGTGCAGAAAATACTCGTAGTCGAGACGATAAAGTATCCGTAAACGGGAAGGTCTTTGTGTCGGTGTTTGTTTGTTTGTTTGTTTTTGAAGTCCGTGTTAATTCGATTTATCAGTTCATACAGATCTGCGCATAGGTAGGTATAAGTTAAACCAATAGTCATGCGATATAAAACACTATAATAAACCTTTTTCAGCCCTGGAATGCCACATCAGGACCCAATAAAGCTGACCGGTCGTGACGTCATCACGAGCCTGTCGCTGATTGGTGGCCTGCCGTGGAGGGGTTTACAGCAGGTGCGGGTCCACTGGCTACTGGACCTCGTGAAACCAGGGTGAGGAGACCAGAATCAATTTGTCTATGGTATCAGTTATAAAATTGCATCCGCTATAAATAACCGTCGGGGCAGTTTCAAATAGCCATCCATTTGATTTCGTAATAAATAAATGGAGCAAGAATTGAGACCGCTGACATGGTCAAATTACAATCAAATCCAGCAATTGAAAACGAGTCGCTGATTAAAATATATCCAACTTTCTATCTTTCTGAGGAAGTGCTGGAAGCCAGACATATAACTTCACTCATCTGGACACGTTTCTGGACGCCCTGGTGTCAAATGGACTGAGGCCAGGGTTCGAGCTAATGGGCAACCCAGGCGGACAGTTCACCGACTTCCTCAGCGAAGACCAGCAGCGGAGATGGACCCAGCTCGTTCGCGCTATGGCCGAGCGTTATGCAGGTGGGTTCAAGCCGTCCAAGCTATGCATTCAGTTGCTTTACTGCTTACAATATTCACACATTATATTAAAATTTATACTACGTGAATGTAAAGCATCAGCCGCTCAACACCGCACCGAACGGGCGCGCCCAGAATCCAGGTTCATGTAATGCGGTACAGCATACTTTCAGGCGTTCACCACTAGCGCCATCTATGGACTGTAAGGTAAGCATAAGTACCCAACCAACCGCCAGCAAAGGAAGCAAATCGATGGATGTGTTTGTTGTGTAAGTAGGTACCTACTCAAATCCCAGGTCAGATATGACAAGAGACATACTTGATTTGGAACAATAATGCAAACGTGCCAACTCGAACGTACCAACAAGAATGCGGATATTCATCAGTAGCCCTGGTTAGTAGGTACCGTTTACAGCATCGCAAATCTTTTATTGCTGTTTTTCTATTGGCTCATTGATAAAAGCGCTCACTGACAAGATCATGTGGCTGGCCCATGAAGCACAGGGCGCTACGGCATAGACGAGGTCCGACAATGGAACTTCGAAACTTGGAACGAGCCCGACCATCACGATTTCGACACGCTCAACATTACCGTGCCAGGTATGATGATGAAAACTAGGCCTTTCAGTACTAAGCTAAAATACCTGTACTAAGCCAAATTAGGGCAATAGCAATATTGATAAACTAAGGACAAGGTAAAGAAAAGTAGTATCCGGTAACAAACAAGCGAGTTTGTGGAGGGCGAACAACGCAGATTTTTGGCCGTCATGAAGCACAGCCTTTCTTCATCTTCACAACCCCCATTTTCGGCAGGGTACCTGAACTATTTCTGGGCGAGCCGGCGCGGACTGCGCGCTGCCGACGGCCGGCTGAGGCTGGGCGGACCGGGCGGCTCGTGCCGACCTCCCCACTTCAGCACCCTGTGCTGGGCGCTGCTGAGGCACGCCGCCCCACAGCTCGACTTCCTCTCGTTTCACCGGAAAGGCGAGCAGGAGGTGCGCTCCATCCTCTCTGCCGAGGTGCAGACGCTGCGAGAGCTGCGAGCCAGGTTCCCCGAGGTGCAACAGCTGCCCGTGTTTAACGAGTGAGGACCGTCAGCACTGGTATCGTCACTGCTGCTATGTGCTAATGCCAATTGGAAGATGTCTTCTTCACTTCAGAAGCCTAAGTTTTCAAAGATGAGCTTCCTAGGTGCCTTTGAAAAATGCTCTCCGGCAAACGGCACTTTCGGAACCTGTATTATCTGACGAAGACAATCAGAATCAAACATACTTTAGCAGAAAACTAGTCACATATCCAGGTAATACCACATAATATCACTGATTCTTCTATCAATACACTCAGCGTGTATGTCGCGGTTGGGAACGCGTCCATGCCCTTCCAGGTCTCTCCATCTCTCCCTCCCACAGCGAGGCCGACCCGGAGAAGGGCTGGTGGCGGGCCCGGCCGTGGCGAGCCGACGTCACCTACGCGGCTATGATAGCGTCCAACATCATCAGACACCAGCAGTGGCGCACCGCCACCGGCAACAAGTACAACTACAGCCTGCTGAGCAACGACAACGCCTTCCTCAACTACCACCCTCACTACTTCCAGCAGAGGACTCTGTTCGCCAGGTATTGGGCGAAAAGGATCGGTAACCTTTATCCCTTTTGTGTGTGTAAAACGAGTGTGTACCAATCTGTAGCTTATCTAAGACCTAACAAATGTTTGAGATTGTTGCAGGCCACGATTCCCAGAGTCAGGGGGTGATGGCAGGCGGATTTTTAGGTTTCAGATGAACCGGACATCAGACAGACACCCAGAGTATGTCCTGAAGCCGAGCTTCTCAGTTATGGCACTGCTGGCCCAACTGGGCTCTCGGCAGCTGTGGTTCGCCGCCAAACACATGCCCAGGTAAAAGCTAGCTGCACCAAGTCACATCTGGCAGGCAGAAAAATAACATCGGTTGCACGAAAAGCTTCATGAAGAAAAGTAACATTTTGAGGTAAACAGGAGTAGTGCTGTTGGACAACAAACAACTCAGAATTTTGATGACTCAGAAACAAGGGAAACATTGATAAAAACTAGTCGATGCGGTAGTGCGTCGTCAGCCGATTCCAGAATTCAATGTAACGAGATGTTTGTTGCCACGATCCACAGTTCACTATACGTGCTGCCATCTATTGGTGACCGGAACAGATCACTGACGGTCCTGCTCACCCGGGGAGACTCAGCCGAGGAGCCAGGGGCAGACACCACGGTCCATGTGCACATCAATAACTTCACCATGCCGACAGGTAAGCATAGCGAGCAGGGTACGCATGCTACTGAAAAGGGTAAATGGAACGAAATAGATTCGAGATGAGGTCTTTGGAACAGGTGCTGAACGTTTATATCAGACAACTGTGTCGAGATGAGCTCTGTTGAGCTTGCCCATAAATTAATAATAGGAAAAGAAGTCAGGGTTTGAGGAACAAACGGCAAAGTTTGACGCGCTTGGCATTTGAGACGATCAGAAATGCCATCTTGCGTGCGTACTTTATCCTGTCGTCACGTCGCGACCCGTGAGCCTCTGTCGACCGTTCCAGATCAGCAGTGGTACTACACCGTATACACCATGGACAACCGCTTGACCAGCCCGTATCACATATGGGTGCGGCAGGGCAGCCCCGTGTTCCCCAACAGGACACAGATGGAGGAGATGAGACAGGCACAGGTATGAGAGCCAATCAACAACAGTGCGTAACAAACGGTGCTTGTGAGATGGAAAAGGATGCTTGCCGGCTCCTGTCATGGCATCTATGTTTTAAAACAGTGTATGGTGCGTTACACGAACACCTCGATCACCTACAAAACAGCGCCGTCAGTTCAGAACATTTTCACATTCTTCCTTGACCCCAGCCTCCCCCTCAGGGCGCTCGTCGCATGGGTCCACCATTGCCGCTCCTCTCCGGCCGCCTGTCTGTGAAGCTGCGCCTGCCACTGCCGTCTGTCACTCTGGTACACGTCTGTGGCACCGGCGACCAACCGGGACCCGTCACTGGACTGAGGGTGCAGCCAGTCACACGCGGAGAGGTGCTGATCGTCTGGGATGACCGACTGGTCGACACCAGGTGGGTAAGAGAACAGATGGATAGATTTAGATAGCTCCAGTGCGAGGAACGGAACGATGGAGGACGAAACCAGCAGAGAATGATTGAGCGATGGCAGGCCAATCATTGGACGTTGAAGGACAACGAATAACTTAACTCCGAACAATGGCGAAAAAACGCGAGAACGTAAAACAAACACCATCGAAGAATCAAGCCCACTGATGCAATCTTGTCAGTCGACAATACTGACGGAAGCAATCATAACGTAGCACTACGATATGAACTACTTTTGTCTGGTCTCGTTGACTTCATACCGAGACCTATCTCAAATGGTCCCACTCGACCGACAGGTGCATTCTAACGTACGAGGTGTTCTTCCGAGCCGAGAACGAGTCTAACGAGAAGTTTCGTCGAATCAACCCATTGGATACGATTTTCAACTTATTCCAATGGTCCCCAGATACGCCAGGTAAGTCGGGCAAGTGAAGTTAGTGGTCGCTGGTCTAAGCATAAATGCTTTCCGAAAATCTACACAAGGACCTAAACGAGGAAGTCATCCCATAGTAACTATTCAACATACATGTTCTCTATATCACCCGAAGCATCCATGATGAAACGTCAGTTATGCATGATGATGTGTTGAATTGGAAGTCAGCTAAAAAGTATCTTATTGAACTGACGACATAGCTGCTGCTAGTCGCTCTCGTTGTTCGATTATTATCAGTGCTCCTATCATGGATATCATCTCCTGATTACATCCCACGCTATTTTCAGCAGAGGGTCCTGAGCCGACACGAGGCCAGTACAAAGCACGAGCGGTAGACTACGCCGGCGCCACCGGTCCCTTCTCACCGACAGTTGTCTACTGAACGGAGGAGGACCTGCGACGCCCACGATCTGCCGACTTGTCCACCCAGCGCAAAATGTCACGTCGCCAATCCCAGCGTCATTAAATTGTCAGTCATCACTGAAAACGCCTGTCAGAGTGAAACGTGCTTACAGATGAACACGATAAAGTCACTGTGTGAAATTGTAACAACTATATTGCGTGCTGTCATGAGCCAACGGGAGACACGAGCTTGTAAAAGACCTACAAAATGTACTGCTACATGGCAAATACCACAGCTTATCATCGGGTATGTTTGTTTTGTGCTGAATAATCAGCAACAGGCAATCGGCAAGGCAATGACACAGGAACTCCCAATGAGAATGGCACAAAAGTCTTTCTGACTCGTTTCGTATCCCCATTCAATGCTATCTGCGATGGCTTTCAGGTACTCGACATGGTTACCTCACCTCTAAAAAATGATAGAACATTAGGAGTTATGAGTATGGAAAATTCACTAAAACTCGGCAAAAGATCTACAAACGACGTCACTCAAAACACGAGGCACGAAAACTATCCATTATCCACCCTATCTGGAATAGGAACCCAACATAGCTTGTCTTGAGTAGCTTCACACTCCGACGTGCCGGTTAACGGTAAGGCACGTCCCACCAACAGCTGCCCCGCCCCGCCGAGCTACTCTCTCCACGCATTATGGCAAAACGTCAATACCGTTGAGCCCCATTGGCCGCTCTCAGAGGCACACCAGTGTCTCGCAGCAGCATACCATAGGCACTGACCTCCAAGAGAGTCTCTGCCTTCTCAGCAGGAGGCACCGACACCTCGACTGACTAGTTCTGTTCCGCCTCTTCTGTGCGCCGGCGGCGGGTCGCCGGACCGAAAAACGATGTGAGTGACGCCTGCCGCTTACCGTCAGACTTCTGTGTAGTCCGGGCAGGAGCGCGCTTCGGTGTCGGCTCAGCCTCGAATAGCTTCAGAATCTGGCGAAAGAATTAGGAAGGGTAAGAGAAGAGAGGGTTGAGCTAGACGGTCACATTAAATACAAAGAGAATAGCTAGAATTAGCGATAGGTTTGCGAGAAGGCTAGGAATAGGAATACGGCTTAAACAAAACGGCAGCCAGGACAAGAGCTGTGGACCGAATTCACAATGAAAACGAAACATTACGAGCAAGCACCAGCAGTCTTATTTCAACCAAACACGCAATAAATCTAATCAAAACAACACACACTCATTAAATTCGCTGCAGTTACCTTTCTGACCGGAGTGGGGATGCCGGCCTGAAGCAGATCCTCTCGGGACACCCAGCGGGCGGTCTGGTAGCCCTCGGGCACCGGCGGCTCCTCCGTTTCCCTGCTCAGCGGGGCGGAGCGCGCCCGGTACACTCGGCGAATGTGACTGAATATGTGGGTGATGTCCCCCACGGGTTGGAGCGGGCCGGCCGGCGGGGCCAGAGGGCCGCTCAGCAGGCGGCGGAGGGCTGAGTCCACGGCAGAGTCTGAGGGCTCCTCCTCTGAGAGTTGGACAGAGGGAAACTCCCACAGTGACGCCAGTAGACCTGGTGGAGCGACACAGCGTGTTAATCAAAGAACTACGCAGGATGGTCATGGTGGAATCGGACGGCGATGGTGTGCAAATAGTGACAGACGCTTTTAAATCAGTACCAAGCTCAACAAATATTTATCTAAAACATCAAACATAGAGCCAAACTAGCCCGCATTAGTATTGAGTCAAAAGATTAGTGCTAAACCAATTGTAGGATGACTCCAACAGCAACGGATGAAATGGTACTGCATTGAGGATGATGTGCTACATTTTCATCATCCAAAAGTGCCTACGAGCAAAACACAGTTTTATTTCTGAAATAAGCAGTGAGCAGTAAGCAGCGCCACCTACCTGACTCGGGCCGCTGGCAGAGCAGGAAGCGGCGCCGGTCCCTGTGCAGCACACAGGTGGCCACCTGTTCGGCGCGCGGCGCTGCCTTCCGCGGCTTGCGGGGGAAGTTGAGCACTCCCCGCTCCGTCTCCCAGAGGTCGGTAGGAAGGCAGAGCGGGCACGGTGAGCCGCACTCCTCAATGTCCGCGACCGGCGCCGAGACGGCCGAGGTGGACTTCACGGGTCCTACGGCGGAACAGTGCCCATGATTGGAAGACGTTTGAGCAACGTGATGACATTTCAGATGTATTCACTAATAAACAGTTAAAACTTAGTACAGTCGGCGGTACGCGCCAATAAAAAAACATATATGTACAAAACTTCCGTAAAATGCGAGTAGTTCCACGGTATCAGACGAAATTTTCGACATAGTCAGCGGCTCGTGAATCCACAAAACAGCCAACAGCTTACAAAGTTACACAAAGGGCAACTGAATCTACACCAAGTTCGATTACGTTCCCAGTCCACCGAAATCCGTCCGTCTCGGTCACTCACCGTTACGCTGGCCGGTCAGCCTGTACGCGGCACACTGCGGCCGGACCGGGCACGTGCGGCAGGCAGGCTCCCGTGGAGTACACACGGTCGCCCCCAGCTCCATCAGGGCCTGGTTAAAGTCGCCAGGCCGGTCCGGATCCACCAGCTGACCGGCCGTCTTCCAGAGCCAGTCGGTCACCGGCTGCCGAGGCATGATACGGGACTGGTCAACAAACAAACAAAGCTAGCGAACAAACAGCAAACCCACCAGCTACCAACGGGTAAAATTTGCTCAGTGGCGACATCTACGATAAGAAATTCATCCAAATAAGTCTTCATCGAATATTTGCAGAAAGAATAAATATGTTAACCCTCGCCCATGTAGGGGGGGGGGGTTGGTGCAACCCCCCCCTGAGGTTTTTCGGAAATTTTTCGGAAATAGTGCAAAAACGGCGGCGCGCAGCGCCGCCAAATTTTGCGTACCTTATGGGGCAAACCTTGCGCATCTTTTGATAAAAAAAATTTGACCGGGTCATGTCAGGTCACGGAGTTATGACGTCACAAAGGGAACAGCCTCCGGCCGGATTTTCACAAACTGAGTGCCAACGCCCGAGGTTTCCTGCCGGTGGTACGGAGATCGGTTGATGGATCGTGATGAAACTTCCCATGCATGTTGGGGCAAGTATTGGCTATCATATGGTATAAGAAACTTGACCGGGTCAGGTCAGGTCACGGAGCTATGACGTCACAAGAGGAACAGCGTCCGGTACTATTTTTGAAAAGCGCCCGAACCACTATTTTGCTAATTCTTGTCACCTCAATGGGAATATGCAGCAATATTAGCTTCTATAGGGAGCAAATGGACCTCCCAAATCCAAAAATACAATCAGATTTCAAAAATTTAACTTTTGATTTTTCGAATTTCTGCCCCCGACTGTGACCTTGCCGACTTCCGGCGCTCCCAACGCGCCATTTCTAGAGCTAGGGAAACGAAATACATACCAAACGATAGAGAATTGATCAAGGAACACGATAGTGAAGGTTTCAAGTCGATATCTCCCACCGTTTTGCCGCAATCGCCGCGGAAAGTTGAAAAAAAGTCTATTTTTCCGAAAATTTGACCTTTGACCGGTCAAAAGTAGGTCAAATGTTGACCTAGGACCAAAAAATATACCACCAATCGCGAGATCTCGGCGAGAGCAATCCGTTGGTCTTTTCCGCTAAGCTCTACGACGCTCCGTTTTCAAACGCCAAGGGGGGGGGGTCGCACCAACCCCCCCTGCATGGGCGAAGGTGGCAGATCGCCGTTTACGGGCGAGATAATCTACGTTGGTTCTACGTTGGTTCTGTCAAAAATCAGGTCTATATCGCCATTTGCCATTGAGGGACGACGTCCTTGTTGCCGATAAGTTCCGACAATAAGCTCAAGATTAATAACGACTTTCACCAGTTATCCGCTTAGCGACTCCGTCGCTAAACCCACCTTGGAGTCGGAGGCGGCTCCGACGGCCCGAACTCTGGCCAGCACGCGCACCACGTTACCGTCAACGACGGGCGTCCGCTGGCCGAACGCAATGGACGCCACCGCGCCGGCCGTGTACCGACCGACTCCGGGCAGTCGGAGCAGAGCCTCGGCCGAGTCCGGCACCCGGCCCTCCAGGTCGGTACACACCTGAGTGCAGAGGTCAGGGAGAGTGAGTAAAGGAACAGGAGGTTGATGGAGGGATAAATGACAGCTTTTACTGCTCATAGCTCACCTACTCCATAGGGTGTACTCCATACACCACTTCAACATTATTCATTAGAAGCAAACTGAGACCAGGAAGATGCCAGGCTAGACCATGGCAAATCAGCTAAGTGAGCAAACATTAAAGGAAGGGTGCCACCTTCCGAAATTTTTGTTCTATGAATCTATTTTACTTATTTGAATTTTTAGACGTGGTTAGCGCGTCCACAATATACAAAAAAACCGAAACATTGCATTTAATACATTGGCCAAAAAAAAGATCGTTGTTTATATCACCACAACTCAAGGTCGTTTGATGTGGCAGCTAGGACGGCTGGCATATCCTGTTGTCATGGCAACATATCATTCTGCCATTTGCATTGATGGCGCAACTGAGACAAAAAGATGAACAAATAAAAAGGAAGAAGATAACATGATTTGAACTAAGTTGTAGGTAACCAAGTAGGTAACTGTTGGCCATATTTGCCAACAGTTAAAGAACATCAAATAAGTCGAGTAAAGGTTTTTCCTTTACAATGCTTAAGAGATCTATGGAACCCTTCACCCTTCATGCAACTTACTAGAAAAACTTCCCAATTAAAATTTTAAAACTTAAGTGTATACCATAAAGAAAAAATATACCCTTTCAAAATGATAAAACATGCTTCAAAAGTATAACTTTTATACATACCTTTGCTGATTTCATGTTTTATAAAATACCCTTAACACGACGAGGAAATAGTGCTGAAGATTTTTGCCTGCCCGAATGCTGGCAGCAAAACTCGCAAATGATAACTTCACGTGCGGATTCAATGCTGACCGTCTCGAGCATAGGTAAGTGAAGCCGGTTTTTAGGTTCATGTGAGGCTAATCTTGTAAAAACTGCGTTGTGTCCAAAAGGTGGCACCCTTCCTT